TGATCGTTTTTTTATCAGGGTTGTTATTATTATTATTATTATTATTATTATTATTATTATTGTTATTATTATTATTATCATCATTGAAAACAACACATGCATTTTCTTACAATATTTTATAGAGAAGGGATCCAGAGTGGAAAGGCATTTTATTTCATTGTATAATATTGTAAAAATATACCCTTGTGTTTTCCATTAAAGCAAAGTGTATAGATCACTATACCCAACTGCGGCAGAAGCAAGCAGAGAATCCAGATGAGAAGGTCCATATAGATCCTCGACTGGAATCCATTGTGAATAGGATGTTCAAAAGATGTTTTGATGACAGAAAGTACAAACAGGTATTCATTACCCTTACTACAAAATATATTCACTATTTATCAATATTGATTGATCTTCAAATTTGCCAACCCTGAAACAACCTCTGGGCTGATACAGGTCAGGGTATGGATATAACTCACAGATCCAAGCCTAAAACATCATCTCGAATGATCGAAGTCTAGGCACGGCCAACTTACAGATCAAATTAGAATTTAGCAAGAATTAAAATTTGTGGAGGGAGGGAATGAAACCTAAGTCCCTAGAGATGAGAGCCAAGTGAGCTTGCTGCCCTTACATCTCCCTTGATTACTGTCTTCTTCAAATAATAAATATAAACAATGTTCATAAATATGGTACTTCTTGTAATGTTCTAGGCTGTGGGAATAGCAATTGAGACTAGAAGACTAGACATATTTGAACAAGCAATCTTAAAATCTGTAAGTACAAGTACATAATAACAACCTGTGTGTTATTGTGGATATCAGTCTGTTAAGTTCGATCTATAACTATCTATAGATGAACATATCTAATAAATTTACCACTCCTGGGTGGATGGCTGAATGCCGAACAGGTTTTCYRACCCAATTGATAAGGCAGCCAATAGATTGAATAAGGGTTTAGGAGTTGATTTTTGTGGAGGGAGAAAAAAAACAGATAGCCCTGAGGAAAACCCTTGAAGCACAGGAGAGAACCAACAAACAACTCAACTCACATACGACACYGAAACGGACAGGACTTGAACCTGGGTCTCATTGGTGAGAGGTGACGCACATTAGCATGCACACCACCCATGTTTCCCCTTGATGTACTGTAGGATACTATATGTAGTATCCTGTGCATCACACTTGCATTTTTCCTTGAAAACTTATGGCCCATATGGTACGTATTGTCTTGTGTTAAGATTATATGAATTTATTGCCAATACAGGATGACATCTCAGGAATGCTTAAGTACAGTCTTAAAGTCTGTATGACATTGGTTCAAAGCAGACAGTTCAGAAATGAGGTGAGATATCTCTAAAAATATTAGCAGTTTGCTAATAAAAAGTTAGTGCAGGACTGCATGGCAACATCAAAAGATTTTGATTGACATGATTGGGGAAGGGTGTGCATTATTACTATTATTATTATTATTATTATTATTATTCATTATTCTTAATCTATCTTTATTAATTGTAGATCCTAAGAGTACTAGTCCAGTTGTATCTAAACCTTAAAACACCAGATTATATTAGCGTCTGTCAGGTAATAAAATAATACAACAATATTATTAATTAACACAATTGGTTGATTTCATTAAATCATTCCTGCCTCATGCAGAWTGTTCATCAGCAAAATTGCAAGTTTTCARTAAAATTCATTCTGGTTGACAACACATGGTGGTCAGTGTTTGATCATCATTTGAAGCAATAGGCCATTTCATGGATCCCATTACACACCCTCAGCCTCATCAGTGTGTAATTATTCTTCAGAATTTGACTACAGTCCGCAGTAATGAAAGGAATTTACACATCAACAAACAATTGAAACACTTAAAAATTTCACGGGTTGATGGCAATTTCTAAAGAATATATTACACGCGGACGAGGCTGAGGTTGAGCAGCAGGATCTGTGAAATGGTCTATTAAATAATGAGATCAAAGACTTAATATATCAGTTGATTGAAACCCAGGGAGATAATTATTTTTGGCTGACAGCACATAGTGGTCAGTGTTTGACCACCATTTGAATGACCATTTGACCACCTAATGAGATTTCAAATCCGCCGATTGAAACCCAGGAATTTTATGCAGCACGATCAACCAAATAATGTTTTGTTGAATTTTTTTTTTTCATTTTTCCCCAGTGTTTCATATTTTTAGATTATCCTCAAGGAGTGGCTGATATTTTAGAAAAAYTAATCAAAGATAATGAGGTAAATTATTTGCAGTATTAAAGCAATTACTTTGGAGTCCCACTAGTTCAAAGTTCCTGGGGATCAGAGAAAAGGTTGGGGTGCAAGTTATCWAGGATAAAATATTTTAGACTTACAAGTCAACGGGATCCAGCCTCAAGTTCAAGATGTCTGGGCTTTGAAAGAGATAATGGAACTCCAATGGACTTGTTGTCCTGTATGACATCTAATGATGTATGAGCTAACCTTTTGGTATATAAAGTGAACTAACTAAGTTTAACGTCAGTACTGTACATGTAGTTCTTTCAGCTACGTGGCTGATATCCCAGGAATCCTACTGTGAGCACTTTACCCCCTTTCTCCATCAGTGCTTTGTTTTAAAAGTATTCAAAGCTGAATCTATGAGGATTAGAGAGAAGTCAAAACAGATGTGAAGATCCTGAGATCAAACCATGGAGCTCTGGCTCCATTGGCAGTGCACTATAACCAAATGAGCTATGCCTGCTCTTATAACCCCCTGTATTGTACTAGCATTGCTTCCCTAAAGGCACAATTGCACAGAGCAATTTTCTTTCATACTTGTTCCGCAATGCTGTTGCAAGACAAGTTGCAAAAACTATTCCTCAATGTAATCCCACTTTAAGATGGACACTTCTCCAAAGAAGTATGAATTATTTTTTATCTTTCTTTCTTGATGTAGAAGGACCAGACRTTGATGGCATATCAAGTAGCATTCGATCTGTACGAAAATGCCACACAGCAATTCTTGTCCATTGTATCCAGTGCATTACAAGCATCAGTACCATTTGCGACTGGCATGTCAACTGAAAAGAATGGCACCACAGACAAGGAAGGGTAAGATCATACTTTATATAGTGGATATAAAAAATGGCACCACAGACACGGAAGGGTAAGATCATACTTTATATAGTAGATATAAAAAATGGCACCACAGACAAGGAAGGGTAAGATCATACTTTATATAGTGGATATAAAAAATGGCACCACAGACAAGGAAGGGTAAGATCATACTTTATATAGTGGATATAAATAGATTTGCTTTATCAGTGAGCTTTATCTGATATTTCAAAATTATTATAACAGGGAGTCAATTGCCATAGCTGAAAAGAGCATGTTAAATCAGTAAAACTGGCTTGAAGTTTGAAGGAAATCAGTCTAAACAAGAGAACATAAATAGTAACGCCCATGCCATGTAATGCCTGTGCCATAGTAACACCCGTGCCATGTAATGCCTGTGCCATAGTAACGCCCGTGCCATGTAAATTCCTGGTTGGGCTATTTTTAGTAACTGGATGCCGTTTAAATTTTGCCTTACCCTACTCCCGTGCTTCATCAACTTATACTTCCTTCAAACTTTGCAGTTTTAATGTGATCTTTCCTGCTACAGTTCTTCTGTCCTAAGTTCAGAAATTCCATGATAAAGTTCMTTGATCATGTTTTCCGTTTGAGAGTACATTCTTCACCTGTATTACATGTGTATGTGTATTACATGTTTGAATTCAGGAGGAATATTTTTGTTAACACCTAACATGGATTTTTTTTTTGTTTTCTTTGCTGCTTGGTCTTGTTACAGAGATGCACCGATGGAAACAGAAGAAACCGAGAAGGAAAAAGAGAAAAATGCTCCAGCCACAGAGAGCACAAAACCTGAGACTCCACTGGTAAGGCTTTTAACTTGCCTACAAACCTTCAAATACTCCCATTTAGAGTTCTTTTTGGTCAGCCTTAGTCTCGGTTGTGTGTTATAAATATTCAGCCATTCAACCAAAATCTGCTTGTATTGTATGTACAGTACATTCTTTACTATACTTAATAAAAGAAAAGAAGACATTTGTACACAATTGACGCTAAGACTGAGCAAAGGTGAACTCAAAATAGGAGTATTGTAACAACCCAAAAGTCAGGGAATGAATCTGTCTTAGACAGAATTTGAATTTAGCATGTTGGGTCTTATGGAGGAATGAAAACTCAAAAACCCAGAAAAATAACTGAAAAAGAAACCAGACAAATAGCCTTTATTTCCTTTCCACCTTAAAAATCTTTTTTTCTGACTCATTTTGAATAACATTATKTTCATCAGAGTGAAACTGATAAAATTCTTCAAGACAAAGTCAACAAGCTTGTGGCTATCTTGGGTGGTGATACATCCATTGCACTACAACTAGAGTTTCTCATCAGGAATAACCGTGCTGATCTACTAATACTGAAAAATACTAAGGTATGAGAATATTTTGAGTTGTAAATAGTATAATAAATAGGCATTCGGAAAACTTGCAATCTTGAAAACATTCCCTCCCTTGAAAAAGAATCTCAGTCTTGTATTTGTAAATTTCAATAAGAAGACTCCCTTTCTTCCACCTCTCTTCCCTCCTTTTCCTCATCTATCTTCTGTTCTTCCCTTCCCATACCTCTCTTCTACTTCCATCCCTCTTCGTCTTCTATTCATCTCTTCTACTCAAGTTTCTGCTCCAAAGTCTCAATACAAAAACAGTTTGTTGCATACCATCCTTTCTTGCATTTTTATTTACTTATTTACTGTTGTATTCACCATGGTATTCATCACACTCTGCAGGATGCAGCAAGAAACTCTGTCTGCCATATGGCTACTGTTATTGCCAATTCTTTCATGCATTGCGGCACAACTAGTGATACATTCTTAAGGTATATGATATRATATGAACTCTTCCTAGCTACTTGTTTTTTTAAAGGATTCTCTGATTTCTTATGTATTTTCTTTTTTTTACAGAAATAATCTTGAGTGGTTGGCAAGAGCAACAAATTGGGCTAAGTTCGCTGCGACAGGAAGTCTGGGTGTCATACACAAGGTAAAGTATATATTGACACCCCACTTTCTCCATGCATATCCAATAATAAAGAATTATCCCTAATACTATGATAATTCTATTCATAGGGACATGAACAGGAYGCTCTTAAGTTAATGTCTACGTATCTACCCAAAGATGGTAGTGGGGGTAGTGCTTACCAAGAGGGTGGAGGACTTTACGCTTTAGGTAGGTACTTGCTACTATAACCATGTGAAATGGCTGTCCTGTCTCATTTAGAAATGTTAAAAACAGAGGACCACAAGTTTATCAGGTGTGTCACATGTAATCCCCTCTAAGAAAAGTTTCCCTTCGTTCGTTCGTTCGTTCGTTCGTGCGTGCGTGCGTGCGTGCGTTCGTTCGTTCATTCGTTCGTTCGTTCATTCGTTACATGATAATATATGAACCATATCTCCATTCAGTTGTGCCAGAAGTAGGTAAAAACTTTGTTTGTGTCTCCAGGTCTCATTCACGCTAACCATGGAAGTAAAATAACAGAGTATCTTCTACAACAACTAAAAGAAGCAACAACAGATGTAAGTTGTCAGCTAGTAGTTCAACTCCTGTACCGGGCATCACATCACRAAGTGTATTGAGTCGAATCATTTGGTCTCTCCCTTGATCTGARAGTTCCTCTAGATATCCTCATGCAAAACCCAATGTTAAACTGATGTCGTTTTTCTTTCAAACTTTAGATGGTACGTCATGGTGGATGTCTTGGTCTGGGTTTAGCAGCTATGGGTACAGCTAAGCAAGGTGGATATGTTAATGTTTATATTAATGTTTTTACTCATGTATCACTGGTGAACAAAGAAATAGCACTCAAGGGAATGACATGTGGCCTTGATAGTAATTTCCCCTTTCAGACTATGTGTCATTCCTTTGAGAATAAAATTCTACATGTAAGTCTTTTCCATTTTAATGAGACCTATCCACCCAAGTATTGCTGTTAAACAGAGAAATTATACTCAAGGGAATAACTTATGGGAACACAGTGTGTTTGATTGACATTAGTTACAGATATTGAAAGTAACCCATTTGTTTCAGATGTATATGAACAGTTAAAGTTCAACCTTTATCAAGATGATGCAGTCACAGGTAAGTACTGTAGCGACCATAATATAGTAAACACCTCCCCTCACCTCCCATACCCCTATTAACATTAGGAAAATTGGTAAATACTGTTTAATTATATTTAAAATCTAAAAATCTTAATGAAGTATTATCTACTACTATTAAAAGTGCAGTTTCGTGCCACRAGTGACATGGCAAGAAATTTTTTTCTTGTAAATTAAAGGGGATAATATCTATTGTTTRCTTCTAACAATAGCTGCCGTGACATGACTTACTTTAACTGTTTTATTCCCTAATATATATTGCATTTACTAGGTGAAGCCGCTGGCCTAGCTATGGGACTTGTCATGTTAGGATCCAAGTCTGCYGCTGCTATTGAAGACATGGTTGGGGTAGGTTATAGCTGAATATTAAAGCCACCATTTTGGATGAATGCAACAGTGTTTATGTCAGCTAGCATGAGACTTGAATACTAAAATACCTCGTACCAATGTATTTGATGATAATGTCTGGTGAATCCTACCATCTTATTCCAGTATGCCCAAGAGACACAACATGAGAAGATCCTGAGAGGCTTAGCCTTGGGTATTGCATTGGTAAGTTGAGTCTGGTGGCATTCACGCAAGAAATATTTACTAAATTTGCATTGATGCATTATGACTTTTGATTCCTGGACTTGCTATTACTTGGGAGTAAAGGGTCCTTCCTGGCCTTGATTCAAGGGCCCTTYCTCTGGGTTCTCTACTTTACCTCCCAACACACTGGATTCCAATTCAATAGCCATTACTTAGACTAGCTGCCCAGATGTTGTTTTAGGGTTTGATCTGTGAGTTAGTTGTGTTCTGACTTAGATCACTCAAACTATTGTTTCAGGATACATGGATAAAATTAATATAATTAATTTCTGATGTCTTTTTGTGATGTAGGTTATGTATGCTAGAATGGAAGAAGCAGATGCATTAATAGAAAGCCTTGCACAAGACAAGGACTCTAATCTTCGACGCAGTGCAATGTATACAGTAGGCATGGCTTACTGYGGCACAGGCAACAACAAAGCCATTAAAAGACTTCTGCATGTTGCTGTGAGTTCATATCTACTCCTAACATCTGYGTATCATCAGTGGTGTTAAACTCAGAAACTATCCATGCCTTCMCYCATGATGGGGGGATTTCCAAAGTTTGATGAGGGTCTTAAGAAATTTCAATAACTCCCYCTTGGAGCAAGAATGGAATTTCCAAGGGGTGGGYAGGGTCTAAGAAGGGTATGTTACATCTTTCMWTAYCTSCTTTATGGAGGAAGATGCCCTAAGAATGTCTGAGGTATATTGTTGTAGCTTTCTGCAGCATTTACTGTTGGTTGGAAGCTCTAATTTCTCCTCATGGAATGATATTTGGAAGGATATGTTTTTGTTTGGWTATTTTGATGTCTAGTTTGTTTATAATGATATTTTCATCTCGTTACTAATTTAAACCTTTTTTGCAATTYTCATGTTCTGTTTATATTCACATTAGATATTCTGTTGCATTTAATACTGATGATAGCAATGTTCAGCGCTGCTGTAACATGTAACATGTATGAGTGCTCTTATTTTTAAAAGCATGTTTTTGTTTATTTTTATTTCAAGGTGAGTGATGTCAGTGATGATGTMAGAAGAGCTGCAGTAACGTCACTTGGATTCCTACTATTCAGGTACAAAATACAAAGCTATTCACARTAATTGTACAGTATTTATGTGATTYAACTTTGACAAGGAAAATATTATGCCCAGACTAAATGGCTTCCTTTTATATAGAGTGAATATCTTGGAAATCAGATTTTTGTATCAAGGTTGTCAATGATAAAGCATTGTTATTTATTTAATAAAACGTTTTTTGTTGATATCATTTTTTCAGAACACCAGAGCAGTGCCCTAGTGTTGTGTCATTACTGTCAGAGAGTTATAACCCTCATGTACGATATGGAGCTGCTTTAGCTCTTGGGATTGCCTGTGC